TCTTTCTTCCTTTTTCATTATCTTTTCTCTAATATTTTCCTTGATCTTTGATATCACTGTTGCAAGGTCTTGTCCTAGTCGATGTGGAGGAATCGACATCCCGTACCCATTTGGAATCGGGGAGGGCTGCTATCTCAACAAATGGTACGAAATTAAATGTGATCATAATAACTCTCTTTCAGTTTCAGGGAAGCTCGTCCCTATTCTTTCAGTAATGGGCATGGAAGTTGTGAGTATCTCTCTTCCGGAGTCAATCTACGGATCAGTTCGCATAAAAATCCCAATAACTTCAAGGGGATGCTCCAGCAAACAAGACTCTACATCACTTTTGAATTTGACGGGGAGCCCTTTTTACGTGCCTGACAGTAATACACTGATAGCGATTGGTTGCAACATCAGGGCATCGCTGACAAATGTGGAGTCAGTCCTCGTGGGATGCGTCTCCAGTTGCCTCTCAACAAATCATGCTGCTTTACATGACTATCTAGCGACAGTCAATTGTAATAGTAAGAGTGGCTCCAACTACGGGTATTGTAGTGAAAGAAGATATATAAATGAAACAAGCTGCAACGGTAATCGATGCTGCGAGGCAAGCATGGCCGGTAGGATTCAACAAGTTCTTGATGTCAAAATAGATGATAACTCCAACACAAGTGAAGGGTGTAAAGTTGCCTTCTTAACTGATCATGAATACTCTTTATCAGACGGATCTGATCCAGATCTGGTCCTTGCTAAATGATATTCAACAGTTGAGTTAGGATGGTTCATCCATACAACAAATCTTTCTTTCTTCGTAGACTCTCTAAGCTGTGTGCCTATGAGAGAGTATCTAAATGTAACTAAATACTCACAGAACGCGAGTTACGGAGCAAGTTGTGCATGCGACTATAACTCTTATTTCCCTAACTATGCAAGTTGCAGATGCACTGGTGGTTACAGTGGCAATCCATACATTCCAGGTGGATGTAAAGGTATGTGTATTTATTGTTCATATTTTGTATTCACGTCTTTTGTCAAAGTAAACTAGAAGATCATCATGGTCGATTTAAGTTTCACTTTTCCTAAATCAGATGTTAATGAATGCACTGAAAATGACTACTCGGTCTGTGGGGACGGCACTTGTGTCAATTTGCAAGGATCCTATAAATGCGTGTATGGAAATGGAAATCATTGGCAACTTGCTATAGGTAAACCTTGCAACTTTCTATCTCATATACATGGGAAAATGGCTTATTCCTAAAAAATATATTAAACAGGGACAGCATATTTTATATGGGAATAAGCCATTTTCACTCGTATACAAGTCCTAGATAATTTGTTCTACGGGGTCAATGGTAATATGATATCCTCCTATTTTCCTATATATCAAAATAATCATTTAAGTAAACTATGTTAATATGTGGATTAAATTTAAAATTAGTTCTTTTAGTTTGATTACTTGTTGGTACTTAACTTTTATTTTATTTAACTACAATCTAAAAAAACTAATCAAAGAATCACCTAATCAATGTTACCAAAACAAAATTAAACATTTTAAACAAATCATAAATATACATGAATATACATTACTATTATTTATTTATAGAAACAATTAAATATCATAAATTATATTCTAGAAACATTGAATATATATATATATATATATATATATCTAACCACATATGATATTATAGAAACAATTATATATACAATCTTAAATATATTTCTGCTAATAGTTAATACGTACAATAAACCATAGCTTTCAACAAACTAATTAACCTAATCCTAATTATGTTCATAGCTCACTCTATATATTTTCAAAAATGTGCAACTCATGCATAACAGTCAAATATACATTATTTTTAAGAAAGCAGTCATTTTAAATGACTAATATCTTCTTTATTAAAAGAGAAGTACCAAATTTATCTACTGTTTAGAATTTATGTTGGAGCATGTTATTAATTACTTAATTGACATATTTGATTGTTACATTAACCAGTCAAATATATATTATTTTCAAAATATCGTAATAACTAATAAGAATATTAATAATAAACAAAATTTAAATATAACAAAATCTGTTGAAAAAATCTAACAAGATCTTACCAAAAATTTTAAATATTTTTTTTATAAAATAAGTATTTCTTTATTTTGTTATTAGATATTCTTATAATTAAAACTTAAAATATAAATCATATATTAAAAAGTTTTAGTTATATATATATATATTTATAAAATGAAAAATATACCCGCACGGATGTTTAAGCATGAGGGAATTTCAAATTTACCATAAGTTTGATGTTATAACTGAATTATCACTTTGCAAGAATGTTTAAGCATGAGGGAATTTCAAATTTACCATAAGTTTGATATATACCACCTTTCAAATTTACTGGACAACCATTTCCACATCCTTAAATATGCAATAAAATATTAAACTAAATATTTATAAATGTTTAAAAAATAATTTATAAACCATTTATAAGTGTTTATAAACCCAACCCCATTCATAAAAACTAAACATTAAACAAAAATCACTAAACACATAACCCAAATGTTAATGTATTTTTGAGTAAGTGTATTTTTGAAAAGTGGTAACCAATTTAGGATATTTTAATCAATTTTATAAGTATTCATGTCAGTAAAAATAGAAGAATTATATGAAGAATCCTTGAGATAGTATTAATTGATGAAAATGTATTATGATATAAAATTGAAAAAAAAAACTGGAATACTATATTAATAAAAAAACTTGAACTAATCATATATAAATATAATTCATATATCCTGACCAGAATAAAAATTTGCATACTATTTTTAATAGGAAACTCGTACCCGAACCCGACCCGAAATATCCGAACCGAAATCCGAACCGAAGTAGCAAAATACTCGAACGGGTATTGAGTTAGGAGAGTTTGGATATCCGAACCCGAACGGGTAATACCCGAACCCGAACGAGTATCCGAAGATAACCGAACATATGTATATATACCTATTTATTCCTAGTTTATTTTGTCTCATTTTATTAAAACTATTTATATTAATGTTATAAATAGTTTAATATCAGATAATATACATATAATTGTAAAAAAGTGATTTGTTACTTATTTAAAATACATATTAAGCTTCTTATTTCATACTTTAAACAAAATTTTCATCCAAAATTCGAAAATAACAACCAAAATAATGATTTTTATTTTCGATAATTTATTTTGAAACTTATTAATTGTCTAACTTATTGAACATTTTAAAAACATAAGTTAATAGTTAAATTTTAAATACATAAAACTTAAGTAATAAAGAATTTGAATTTTTTCTTCCAAAATCTAAATATCCGAACCCGACCCGAAATAACCAAACCCGAACTAAAAATATCTGAACCCGACCCGATATGTAAAAATACCCGAACGGGTTCTAAACCCTAATACCGAAATACCCGAAAACCCGAAATACCCGACCCGAACCGGAACGGATACCCGAACGCCCATCCCTAGGGACATAATAAATAAATAAAGCATGAGCCAAGAATAATAAAACTTGACACTGATAATAGATAAAGTAAACTGAAGATTTTAGTCAAGTGTGGTATTATTGGTTATTTTCTATCTTTAATTTACTTACTTAATTTTTATTTTTTTTTGCCGAAAGATATGTGTGTTTACATATTTACTATAACTGCAAACAAATTAGTTTTATGTGATTTTAGAATATGAAAATAAATTCACAAAGGAATATTCGTATAAATGAACAGAACTAAAAATGGTTAAATAGGAAAAATTAATAAAAACTAAAAGAGAAGAAAATTATCTATAAAATAATAATATGTATTTTTAATGCTACACCAAAAAAAAATTATTATGTATGATAACGAAGTCCTAACAAATTTTATAAATATGTAAAAAAAAACATGTTGTTTTGATTTAATAAAAAATATTTCATCTCACAGTAATATTAAGTATATATGTCTAAGATAACGACATTAGGTTATTTCAAATTTAAATATTAATTTTGTGATACAATATTATTAAAATATATGTATTAAATCTACTCTATTAAAATAGAGTCATTCTTTTTATTTTCTGATACAAGTTGTTATTTAAATTTGGATCTTTTCTAGAGTGTTACAAATAATACAAGTCATATAGTTGACTTAACCGCATTACTTAAATTAAATCGGTGATTATTTGTGGGATAGAGTCTTGGACTTATTTTTGTTTTTAGGAAAAATTATATGGTTTGATTTTTGGACTAAGTATTAAGAGAAAATTTCAAAAAATATTGAATAAAATTTCCACCTTAATGGATCAAAAAACTAATTAGTATTTTTAGGCCCAAAGGTAAATAATATTTTTAACAAAACAAAATTTTCTATTACTAATCCTTATTTAAATCATGTACTTTAAAACATGTTAATGTATTTTTTATTTTAACTCTTATTTAAATCATGTATTTTAAAACATGTTAATGTATTTTTTATTTTAAATATAAATCACTTTGCTTTGATAAATTTCAATGGTAACATTTAAATAGTTTATTATTTTATTTTCTTGAATAATTTACTGATTAAAAAAAATGTAAAGTAAAACCAAAAACCATATCTAAAAACTAAAATCCAAAACCAAAAGCTGAAAACGCAGGTTATATTTTTCCTTTTGTTTGTTTACGAAATAAACTATTGCAAATTTTTTTCTTCATATTTTCAGTTTTAAATTAGATGTTCGATTATTTTGAATTTGTTTTTTGGTAATATCAGTTCAAAATAACTCAACAGATCTAAAAAATAAAAGCCAAACCAAAAGCTAAAAATCAAAAATAGAAACTTAAAAACTAAAAACCAAAAACCAAAATCTAAAACCAAATCTAAAAATAAAAACTGAACTAAAAACTAATGCAAAACAATCACCACCACAAATTTTGGATTACTGATTTTATATCAAAACATATTTTAAATAAAGATAAAACTCAGTTATATAAAATTTTAATCCTAAATTATAATTATTCGTAATCAAAGTCTTAGTAAAATGAATTCAGTGTCAGAAAAGTAATTCTTTTTCCCTTTTTGTCGGGTTTGTAGGAATTGGTTCAAGTTTGGGCTCATTGATCTTTATTGGTGGAATATTCGGGTTATACAAACTTATTAGAAAACAAAGGAGGTTGTCAAACCAAAAGAAGAAGTTCTTCAAGCGTAATGGAGGTTTATTGTTGCAACAACAATTAACTTCAACTGATGGCAACATTGAAAAGACAATATTGTTCAGCTCTAAAGAGCTTAAACAAGCCACTGAAAATTTTAGTGTAACTAGAGTACTTGGCCAAGGTGGTCAAGGTACCGTGTACAAGGGAATACTTGTTGATGGTAGAGTTGTCGCAGTAAAAAAATCAAAAGTCGTGGATGAAGACAAGTTGGAAGAGTTTATCAATGAGGTTGTCATTCTCTCCCAGATCAACCACAGAAACATTGTAAAACTTTTAGGGTGTTGCCTTGAGACAGATGTTCCTGTTCTTGTCTACGAGTTCATTCCCAATGGCAACCTTTTCGAACATCTTCATGATGAGTTGGTTGATCAAACAATGACAATTTGGGAACTGCGTCTCCGCATTGCTATAGATATTGCTGCAGCTCTTTCATATTTGCATTCGGCTGCATCATTTCCAATATATCACAGAGACATCAAATCTACAAATATAATGTTGGATGAGAGATATCGAGCTAAAATATCTGATTTTGGCACTTCAAGAACAGTAACAGTGGATCATACACACCTTACAACAGTCGTTTCAGGTACGGTGGGATATCTGGATCCTGAGTATTTCCAGTCTAACCAGTTCACAGATAAAAGTGATGTTTACAGCTTCGGAGTGGTGCTTGTCGAGCTTATCACTGGAGAAAAATCAGTTTCTTTCTTGCGGTCTCAAGAAAATAGGATACTAGCAACTTATTTCATTCTTGCAATGAAGGAGAACAGACTATTTGACATTATCGATGCACGGATCAGAGATGGTAGCTTGTGGAATCAAGTGACTGCAGTGGCAAACCTTGCAAGGAAGTGTTTGAATCGGAAAGGGAGGCAACGGCCAAGTATGAGAGAAGTGTCTATGGAGTTGGAGAAAATTCATGCTGCGGATTTGCAACTACATGCCTATGGTAGTGAAAACGAGGAAGACAATAAAAAAGAAGTTGTGGATGCTGATATAGGGATACAATCATGGAACAATACTGCTGTTACTGCTCCAGCTTCTCACTATGATGTCGGCACAGCGTCTTTGTCAGTGTCCGATGTTGAGCCTCTGTTTCCTTTTCAAACACGGTAAGAACTTCAACCTTGCATCCCACCACATTATCTAATGCCTTTGCTTTTCTGTTTGGTTTCCGTGTTGTGTCATGTCACATGTGTGAGTGTATTTGTTTCTATAATTCCCTCCTAATGTGTAATAAACTTATCTCGTTCGTATCAACTAAGCTCTACATTTCCTAGTATAGTAGAAATAATTTCATAATCTATTGTAAGAAGATTGGCAACAGTAATAAACAGACATGTAATGTTAGTTACTTAGTTTTTCGTGATAATTTCATAATCTGTATAAAATCATATGAACTGATAATGTGACTGGACCTTTTGCTACTTAATCACAATGTGATTGATTATAAGTAGCCCTGGGCAAAAAAAAAACGAAACCGAAAAACCAAATCGGAACCGAACCGAAATATCCAAAACCGAAACCGGACCGAAATTCTTAAATATCCGAATGGTTCCTATATTTCTATACCCAAAAAACCGAATCAGAATCAGAACCGAACCGAGAACCGAACGGTACCCGAATATCCGAAAAACAAATTAAAATTTTTGAATATAAGATAAAATGACATCAAGCCCACTTGAACCCAGGTTGGATACAAATAGTAAGTATATTTTTACCACCAGACCACATTATGTTTTATTTATTCTCTTATATTATAAATATATATAGAATTTCTATATTAAAATACGATAAATATTTATAAAATTAACACTTTATTGATTCAAACTCTTGTTGGATTGACGAATATGTAAGCGTGTAAATACTAGACCATTTAAATTAACATATTAACTAATATATTCTGTATATATATATATTTGATTTATATATTAAATGGGTACCCGAAATCGAACTGGAACCGAACCGAAACCGAAATCTCCTAAATACCTATTGGGTATAAAAAATGATTTATCCGATATACCCGGAACCGAATCGAATATCCGAATGCTTAGGCCTAATTATAGGGATACATTAGAGCAAGATAGTTCACTTACCATTGATCAGTTGGAATAAAAGATTGAACCCTAAACCGTGTACAATTTCTTTGTTAGTTGTTAGTGTGTTTATATAACGTTTATGTTTATCCAACAGATCTATAGAGTTTTCTTCATCTGGTTCGCTACAATAGGGTTTATTTAGTCAATTACCGATCTGTTGAGTTGCATCTGCCTTCTTTTGTTAATGTTCTTTAATTTTTTTTTGAAACACTTTGTTTTTTTTATTAAAGTTCTATTGACATTATTGAACGTGAGGAATGAAAAGGACGAAACAGCTGTGGTAAATGTGTGAATGTTTCTGGATCGTTTATGTTATGAAACAGAGAAGATCAAGTCTGTGATTCAAGGTGAATCAACGGAGTTTTTATCCAGATTCTAAAGTCATATAATTATAACATAACTAAAAGGAGTGATCTTTAAATATGGGTAATTTTGATTAATATTACATAAGTTTATACGGCAAAATGTATTACAGAACTTACATAGCTTTTTCATATATTTCATAAGTTTATGTTAGCTACACATGGGTTCTGATGCATTTACAAATATATGTCGGAAGCTCAGAGCATCATAAACGGGAGTGCTTAACAGAGGTGTTTAGTGCTTTTTATCAATGAGTACCACAAAAAATACTAAGCACCACTTCTTAAAATCCTTAACTAAACACTCGAAATGGCTAGTTGCATGCATTGTTTGTGGACTCCATTGACATGTGGTGGTCCACAGTTGATTCGTTTTTATTTTTTAATTTTAAATCAGGCAAGAAAATATACATTCTAAATAGAATGTTAGAGTTGAAGATGCTCTTACGATTATTGATAAACCGTTTTACTCATACAAAAAAATTTTCTTAATAATGACAAAAGAAATTATTTTATCCAGAATAAAATAATGACTTGTTTTTGGGGTTTCAGACGAATAATCACTTCTTTAATCTTATAAAATCATCATTAAACTTTAACAATAATTATAAAAAGTATTAAGCGAGAAAACTTTATAAATAGGTTATAAAATTGATAAAGTAATATATAAAAATATAAATTATTTTCAATGTTTATAAATCAATTTTAAGAATCTTAAATAATGAATAAATGATAATAAAGATTTTAAAATATTTAACCACATTTAGTAATAAAATTCCTCAACAAAAGATGGATCGTAACAAAAACCCTCAACTAAAGATTTAGTGAAATAAACTCTCAACTTTAGTTATGTTAACGTATGTCACCTTCAGTCTAAAATTCCGTGATGAAGGGTGACAAACATTAACAAAACTAAAGTTGAAAATTTATTTTACTAAATTTTTAGTTGAGAGATTTTTTTTACAATCCATCTTTAGTTGAAAGATTTTATTACTAAAAACCCTTAAAAGTACATTGTCTTTTCGTCTCTTGCACAATTTTGAACATAGCGAAGTTTCTTTTTCTTTTTGAATTTTGTAATATTTCTGGTTGTAGTTCGTAGGACTATGTACAATGGCAAAATCATATAACAGCCTCCTTTTTTTAATTTTTACATTCCACATTATACTTTCTCTCTCTTCCACACAATCATCCAACATTCATATTTTACTTTTTATAATATTTTTGAATAATATGAACATTATAATAAAATAAATTTATGTGTCCAAATTAAATAAAATAAATTTTTGTTTATAGATGAAAAAAGAAAATGAATTTTGATAGAATTTGTTTAAAAAAAATCTATTTGCTATAATATTATTCGTTTGAATGGTTTAGATAAATGAAAAATTCACTTAATCAATGTGGACCTCAGCTTTTAATTATTCAACACTTGAACTAATTCAACAAGATGAATCCACGTCTTCTTTTCTTTCATTTTCAGTATGCTCATTGCAAACCATTCAACTGTTGAATAATACTTTCAATAGCTCCATTGTACTCAGTCTTAGACAATTTAGGCCACTCATTGAATCCTATTTATTATGTTTTTTTTTTCACGAACGTAATCAAATACATCTTTGAATTATTGGGCTTAATAATGTACTTGGTTAGACTATCATCCGTCTCTTTCGCTAGGTGCAAAATTTCTTGCAATGGCCAGGAAGAAGATGTAGTATGACGTGACATGCTTTATGTAGGCCTACCGAAAGAAAGCTGCGTTGTTGACTTAAATGAAGGAAAAAAGAAGCTGTAGTATTCTATACAGTTTTGAAATGGACTCCACCTTTTTTGTGTGTTTACTTTAAGTTGATGAAGAAGATTCAAAAGATGGAGCTCGACAGTGACATGCCTTAAGTAGGCTTACCGAAAGAAAGCTGCGTTGATTTAGTTGAAGGAAAAAAAGAGTATGGACTTAGCCGTCAGTGAAGACTTAACACCGTGTGTTGGCTGTGTCCAAGTAAACGGATGCATTTCTCTTCCTTACAAAACCACTCTACTTTCACCAACAAATTGTCTTGAAAATATCTTAAACATGAGCTCGTACAATCCTTCTTCCCTTATGATTATATTATCTCTTCTATTTTTCTTGGTCTTTGATCTCACTTTTGCCGGGTCTTGTCCTAAAACTTGTGGAGGAATCGACATCCCGTACCCATTTGGAATCGGGGAGGGCTGCTATCTCAATAAATGGTACGAAATTAAATGCGATCATAATAACTCTCTTTCAGTTTCAGGGAAGCTTGTCCCTGTTCTTTCCCTAATTGCCAAGGAAGTTGTGGATATCTCTCTTCCGGAATCACTCGGCTCGTATGGTTATTATTCTCGCATGCCATACGGGAAAGTTCACATAAAAAACCCAATAGCTTCAACGGGGTGCTCCAGCAACAAACAAGAGTTTAGATCACTTTTGAATTTGACGGGGAGTCCATTTTACGTCGGTGTCAGTAATAAACTGATAGGTATTGGTTGCAACAGCACAGCCTCGTTGACGAATGTCGAGCCAAGCATCACTGGATGCTTCTCCAATTGCCTGGGTTTTACGACTCCAAAATATTATCCTGGTTCAGTCTATTGTAATATTACGAGTGACTATGGGCATTGTGGTGAAGAAAGCTGCAACGGTAATGGATGTTGCAAGGCAAGCATGCCCGGTAGTATTCAACAGGTTGTTGGTGTCAGAATAGATGACAACGCCACCACAACAGGATGGTGTAAAGTTGCTTTCTTGGCAAATGAGGAATACACTTTATCAGAAGGTTCTAATCCAAATTGGGTATATGATAAACGATATTCAACAATTGAGCTAGGATGGTTCCTCCATACAACCAATATTTCCTTCTTAGGCTCTCTAAAATGTGCAACTATGAAAGAGTACCTAAGTCTAAGTCGAAACCCATATGAATCGACTTACGGAATAAGTTGTGCATGCGACCATAACTCCTATTTTCCTAACTATGCAAGTTGCAGCTGCAATAGTGGCTACATGGGGAACCCATACATTCCGGGTGGATGTGAAGGTTAGTAAGTGTTTATAGTTTATCTTTCTGTTCTAGTGTTACATATAAGACTATGATCTAAGTAAACTACGAGATCATCATGGTTGATTTCAGTTTTGTTTTTTCTTTCTTTCTAAACCAGATAAAAATGAATGCACTGAAAAAGACATGTACTGTGGGGAAGACGCCAGTTGTGTCAATTTGCAAGGATCCTATAAATGTTTGCATAGAAATTACCGGCTTGCTATAGGTAAACCATGCAACTTTCTACTCTATAAATTAATATTTTATAAACTAATAAATACTATAAATCGATAAAGTTTCCGAGTCACAAATTAGATTGGTTTAAAATATAATGCGAATCAATAAAATATTAATTTCCAGGAAATCCTATATAAATATATGGTCTCATTAAACTTATAAACTAAGAATTTATATGTATATAGATTTATATAATACAAAAAACCATTGTATTTTTTTGTTTTATATTCATAATTTATTTTATATTCGTAATGAAATTATCTTTGTATTTTCTTAACACTTACTATATTTTTATGAGATCTATTAAAATTATATCTAATATCACATTTAAATTCTATGAAATATATTTTATTTACACTAAATAATATAATAAAATCAATAAGGATAATGAATTTCGAAAATTAACTAATATATTTTAAAATGAAAATCTGAAAATGAAACTTTTTGTAAATTTATAAGTTTCAAGATCGACATGTATTTAATCAATTAGCCAAGCCATGCAAGAAATGAAATTTGGTTTTCATTTTTCCTTTGTGGGGTTTGCAGGGATTTGTTCAAGTTTCGGCGCATTGATCTTTATTGGGGGAATATATGGGTTATACAAGTTTATTAAAAAACAAAGGAGGTTAAACCAAAAGAAGAAGTTCTTCAAGCGTAACGGAGGCTTGTTGTTGCAACAACAATTAACTACAACCAAAGGCAACAATGAAAAGACAAGAGTTTTCAGCTCAAGCGAGCTGGAAAATGCCACTGAGAACTTTAGTTTGGCTAGAATACTTGGCCAGGGTGGTCAAGGTACCGTCTACAAAGGAATGCTTGTTGATGGTAGAATTGTAGCAGTGAAAAAGTCCAAAGTGGTGGATGAAGACAAGTTGGAGGAGTTCATCAATGAGGTTGTCATTCTCTCCCAGATCAACCACAGAAACATTGTCAAACTTTTAGGGTGCTGCCTTGAGACAGAAGTCCCTGTTCTCGTCTACGAGTTCATTCCCAACGGTAACCTATTTGAACATCTTCATGATGAGTCAGATGATCACACATTGACCACTTGGGAAGTGCGTCTCCGAATTGCTATAGATATTGCAGGAGCTCTTTCATATTTGCATTCTGCCGCATCATCTCCAATATATCATAGGGACGTCAAGTCTACAAACATAATGTTAGATGAGAAGTATCGAGCTAAAGTGTCTGATTTTGGCACTTCAAGAACGGTAACGGTGGATCATACACATCTTACAACCGTCGTTTCAGGTACGGTTGGATATGTGGATCCTGAGTATTTCCAGTCTAGCCAGTTCACGGACAAAAGCGATGTTTACAGCTTTGGAGTGGTGCTTGTGGAGCTCATCACCGGAGAAAAGTCATTTTCCTTCTTGAGGTCTCAAGAAAATAGGACATTGGCAACTTATTTCCTTCTTACAATGAAACAGAATAGACTACTTGACATAATCGATGCACGAATCAGAGATGGTTGCAAGCTGAATCAGGTGACTGCAACCGCAAACCTTGCAAGGAAGTGTTTGAATCTGAAAGGGAGGAAACGGCCAAGTATGAGAGAAGTGTCCATGGAATTGGAGAAAATTTGTAAATCTTCGGTGGTAAGTCTTTTTTGTCAATGTCAGATATTGAACCTTTGTTTCCTTACCAAACACGGTAAGAACTTCAACCTTACTTACCACCGCAATTATCTAATGCCTTTGTTTTCACGTCCAATTTCTGTGCGAGTGAATGTATTTTGTTTTAAGAATACCCTTGAATGTGTAATAAACGGATCTTGTCAGTATCAACTCTACAGTTTCCTCTCCTCTGAATGTACGTGTAACAAAAGAATAATTTCATAATCTATTACAAAAAGACTGGCAATATGTTTCTCTATTGAGATGAATTTTATTAGCTGCTCATGGGTTCTCATACATATCCCCTATATATTATCTGAAAATTATTTAAAAAATTGTAACCTTAAGTTTGTATTAATTAAAAATAATCTCCATCCTATATGGCAGATCTCTTTGTCTTCTAAATTCTATTTAACACAATGCTAAAACACCTTACATATATCATAGTTTAAGCACATATTTACTAGAAAGATGTTGGTCACATATTAATAAGATATGTGATTAAAAGATTTCCTTAATTAAATAAAAGTTACGGAATTACCTAATGTGATTAAAAGATATATGATAATTAATAATTTCAGTAATAAAGATTTGCTAACAATTTTTATACCCTCTACCATTTTTGTTTAAATATTTGTTATTAAAATAATTTATACAATTACATTATTGTAGATAATAAAAAATATATTTTTCGTATATACTGTATTTTGAATTTTTTAAAACGGGTATAAATTACTAAATTATTAACTATCTCAAATAATTTTTTTGTGATCAATGGTTTAAATTTTTATAATAATAAGATACAAATAATTATAAAATACATGAGTAAGACGTCTTATTTAATATGTTTATATTAATAAATATATATATATATATATATAATTTAAATTAAACTACATATCATATAAAATACATACTTATATTTTGATATTTTCATTAAAATATTGAGAATTTAATATTTTCATTAAAAATATTGAAAATTTAATATTTTAATTTTAAAATTTGCATTCAATTTTTAATAGTTCAAAATTTTGTTATAAAAATATATTCATAATCATAAAATCTTATACTGAGAAAATTAATTTACAAAACCTTCATATTTAAAATATATTATAGATATTGTTAATGTCATTTAAATTTAATTGTATATAATATATGATGGATAAAATTGATTGCCTTGGTTTATTTACCACAAATGATTGTTAATAAATAAGAATAATCGTTTGATTTAAATACACACACCAAATCTCCTATATATTAATTGAGGATCACTTTAAAAGTTATAGCCTTAAGTTTGTACTAATTAAAAAATCATATCCTATGTGGCAGTTCTCTATGAAATTCTACTTAGAAGAATTCTAAAGCACCTCATATAAATTATAGTTTTAAAAGAAAGTATGTTGGTCTCATATAAGACATATCAAACTAAATCTCATATATATTTTTTATTAAATAAAATCTACGTAATTACCTAAAGTGATTAAGATATATATGACTATTAATGATTTTAAATAATAAGGATTTGTTAACAATCTGTATACTTTATATAATGTTTGTTTAATTTTTTATTATTAAACTAAGTTACACAACTACACTAATCATATAGTAAAATTTAGATTTTTTATATATGTTATATTTTGAATTTTTCAAAACGAGTATATTAAAAATCTCACATAAAATTTTGTGATCGAGGTCTAAAATTTTTTTCTATAATAAGTTACAATGATTATAAAAGCATATAAATAAATAATTCTATTTTAATAGGTGTTATTTTTTTAATATATATATATATATATATATATATCTCATATCGTAATAAATAATTTTATTTTAAAGATAATTATAATCCAAAATTTAACTTAATTTTTTATAAAAAATATTTTTTATTTAAAAATTAATTTTTAAAATATTATTTTCTGATATTATTAGACAAATAAGTAAATTGTATTAAATTATTTTTGGAAGTTTATATATTTTAAATGTGAATATTCTATCAACTATTTTTTAAGAAAGCATTAGGAAACTTGATAATGTTCTACCAATTAAGCCATGTGACATTCCATTTATTTTTCATTTCTCGAACACTGAAAAGTGAAAAGATATATGGACCCATTAAATTATTTTTTGATCTACAGTTCTAATTACAATTACTTCTAATCCGATAAATAGATAATTATATAAAAATTCTAAAATTACAAATATATATAAAAACAATCATATGTAAATTTTAAATTTGTAAATAATAAAATCTTTTATTTTAATTATATACACTCACCATGCGCAAAACACATGTCTTATCCTAGTATATACTATTAGAGACTAAAACTTTGTAAGAACATTAATTAGAATACTAGATCAATGGGCAATCAACTTATCATCAATTGGTTTTATGTTAAAAATTCACATAGTTTAATATGGTATCAGAGACCGATACATACTGTCCAACCCGAACCACAACTATCCAGCCTAAAGTTGTTCCATCGATATACATTTCTATATTGACGCTCAGAAAATCATTATCTCGTGGAACGTATTAGAGATAAAATATTCTACATCAAAATTAGAAGGATGTTGACATTAACTAGGATGTATTAGAGACTCTTCCATTGAAAGTTGGAATGTATATTAACTAATATATAAAATAGCTGAGCTAATGAACTTCTCACCAATTAGTTTTATGTTAAAAATTTATCTAGTTTAACATATATATCATGTATAAATCTTGATAAAATCTTATACCAATAATAGCTTTCGAAACCCTATTTTTTCTTTTAAGAAGCAAAGACAAATATATGATAGAAGCACATCTGTGAATGTGAGTGCTAAAACAAGAAAACTATTTCGTTAATTTGAATATATTGTATGTGTATGGATTAGCCGCAGTTATTGTGGTCACTATTTTAAAATTTTAGTCAACACGCCAAAGTTAGTGGACTTGTCCTATTCTTGTCTGTATTTATGTATTGTAAAATATCTTGCAAGGGCTAGGAAGAAGCTGTAGTATTCTATTCAGTTTTGAAATGGACGCCACCTTTTTTTGTGTTTACTTCAAGTTGATGAAGAAAATTCAAAAGATGGAGCTCGACAGTGACATGCCTTAAGTAGGCCTACAGAAAGAAAGCTGCGTTGATTTAGTTGAAGGAAAAAAAAAGAGTATGGACTTAGTCGTAAGCGAAGACTTAGCACCGTGTGTTGGCTGTGTCCAAGTAAACGGGTGCATTTCTCTTCCTTACAATACCACTCTACTTTCACCAGCAAATTGTCTTGAAAATATCTTAAACATGAGCTCTTACTATCCTTCTTTCCTTATGATTATATTATCTCTTCTATTTTTCTTGGGCTTTGATCTCACTTTTGCCGGGTCTTGGCCTAAAACTTGTGGAGGAATCGACATCCCGTACCCATTCGGAATCGGGAAGGGCTGTTATCTCAATACATGGTACGAAATTAAATGTGATCACAGTAACTCTCTTTCAGTTTCAGGGAAGCTTGTCCCTGTTCTTTCAATACTCGGCCAGGAAGTTGTGAATATCTCTCTTCCGAGTCATGTCCACTCGGATTATCCTATTAGCATGACATACGGGTCAGTTCGCATAAAAAACCAAATAACTTCAAGGGGGTGCTCTAGCAAGGAACAAGACTCTACATCACTTTTGAACTTGACGGGGAGCCCTTTCTACGTTGCTGACAGTAATACACTTATAGCGATTGGTTGCAACAATAGGGCATCACTGACGAATGTGGAGCCAAGCATCGTGGGATGCTTCTCCAGTTGTCTCTCAACAAACCATACTGCTTCAGATGACTATCTAGCGACAGTCAATTGTTATAGTAAGAGGGACTCCGATGACGCCTACGAGTATTGTAGTGAAAGAAGATATATAAACGAAACAAGCTGCAACGGTAATCTATGTTGCAAAGCAAGCATGCCAAGTAGTGATCAACAGGTTGTTGGTGTCAGAATAGATCATGATAACGCTGTCACAACAAGTGAATGTAAAGTTGCCTTCTTAACAGATGAGGCCTACTCTTTATTAGACGGAATTGATCCAAAAATGCTTCTTGCTAAACGGTATACTACAGTTGAGCTACAATGGTTCATCGACACAACAGATCTTTCGTTTGTAGACTCTCTAAGATGCCTAACTATGAAAGAGTACCTACCTATAAGTCGACAATACTCACATGGAGTGGATAACTATGCTAGTTGTTCATGCGACTATAATTCTTCTGTTCCTAACTATGCAAGTTGCAGCTGCAATAGTGGTTACGGGGGCAACCCATACATTCTAGGTGGATGCAAAGGTTAGTAAAAGCGTGTTCATAGTTAATATCTTTTATTCAAATCTTCTATCAACTTAAACGATGAGATCAGTAGGGCTGATTTCAGTTTCTTTTCTTTCTAAATCAGCTATTAGTAGTGAATGCCCTAACTGCGTGTATAGATATCACGGGCAGCTTGTAATAGGTAAGCCGTCTTTCTATCTCAAATACACTTTCCTCATTTAAGCCTTAGCATTTGTAGGCCTTTTGCAACCATCATAAAAAAAATGCTATAAATCACTTTAAACCACGCAAAAATTCTTCAAAAACTTGTTCTAGCTAGTGTTTGCAGTTACAAAACAGTGAGTATTAAAAAATTTTTTTTAAAAAACTATATAAAAAAATTCTATTAAAAATTGAAATAATATAAATATTAAAGATATATATATATATACTAATTTATTTATACTATAAAACTTTAAAACAGAAAACAATTTCCTTAATTTTTAAAAAATTAAAAAATATAATTTTAGATTTATTATAATAATATAATTTTAATATTTTATGATTATATAAAATGTAAATATTGTTAATTTACTATTTAAACACTGATTCATTTAATAATAACAAGACATAAGTGTTATTCAAAAGCACCATTTTATAACCATTATATCATTTCTAAAAATCTTTTATCTATTATATTAAAAGAGAAGTCATGACTGTTCATTCATGTGTGATATTTAAAAAAAATGGACCCTTACTAGAAATAACAATTCATTCATTTATTAGAACTATAATATGTCTCTTATACTCCTACATAACCCACTTTTAATCCTTATTAAACCATTTTAATCCTTATTAATTAAATGTTAAACCAACTCATACAAAACCGCCCTTTAAGAAATGTGAATCCTATAGTTCAAAGTCTGAAACTTAGCATAATTCTATACATATTTCATCATCATATGACCCGATATA